CTACGTAGTTCGTTACCGATGCCGGCATCATCTGAGTGAGAGCTACGCCACGCCGATTGCAATATCCAAGCGGACGAGAGGGAATTGGAAGAGAGAGCCCGCATTGCGTGAACTATGTCAAGTAGATATAGAGGAAGCCTTCGGGAACGTCCCACGGCCGATCTCCAGCTTCAGGTATTATGAAGATGACCCGTTCTGAGAGCCCGTGTTCTTCGAGTGCGGCCTGAACTACACCCGGAGAAAGAGAAGAAGACGGCACGTCATGAGGATGGACAACTCTTCGTTTTGGAATTGGTGGTGATGCGTGATTCACCGCTTCAAGGTTGTCCTCGGCAGCCTCTACTTCGGTATCATTCCCTTCGGGATTCTCCTCTTCAGATTCCACAACCTCCTCGATCTCGTGATTAACGCCATCAGCGTTCGGCCCGTCTCGAGCTCCGGTTTCACGAGTCTCTGTTGCCAGTTGCTCAGGCGCCTCTATTCGCGGTCCAGATCGGCTACTACTTGCACCAGCCGATCTAGAATTCTTGCGGACCAGCTGCGGAGGATTACTTTCCCTCTGAGAATAGTTCGGTGAAGGAGGATTTGAAGAAGAGGAGCTCGGCTCCGAAGATTCACGACGATCTTCTGGCAGAATTTGATTAGAAGAGGAGTTGATCGAAGAGCTAGAAGACATTCTGAGTTCGGAGAAACGGAGTTGAAGGAAGATCTAAAGGAAATGAAGAACAGGTTGAAGATCGATCGGGAAGTTTGAAGATGGATCGGAGAACTTGAAGATTGATCGGAAAATTTGAAGATCGATCAGAAAATTCAAGAGATTGCGGCAGAGAAAGTAGAAGAAACTAGAAAGAACTGCGAATAAAATCCTAGAGAGAGAAACAAAATCCAGAGAGAAGGGAGAGCAGCGTACCTTATATATGCTTGAACGAGAATAATGAATGCGTTGGGGATTTATTCCTTTATAAACAGTGGGAATCGTGGTTCCTTGACTTTCGCAAAAACCCGGAATTCACGCGCCTCATTGAAGACAGGTTGCAAAATGTCCGGGAAAGTGAATCGATTGCAGTTACCGAGCTCGGTTTGTGACCTACTTTTAGGTTTAGATCGAATAAGTTCGACTAAAAGCCGTACCCTTTCATCGAACTGAGGGGGAGGGGCTAACTGTTGGAGGTGAAAACCGCACCCTCGGTTTTCTCCGGTACAAACCAAGATCGGCACGACATAAGCCCGGTTTACGAAGGAAATGTACCAAGAATATTGTGCCGAGTGAGCTCTTGGGCCGAACGTAGCCCGACAAGCCGAAGTCGGTCAGAAACTTCTCAAAGGAACCGAGAAGTTCTTTGAGTTCGGAGGAAAATGGAAAGTTTCCGAGTAGAAAAAAAAAACTTATGAGAAAAGGAAAAAGACCGAGAGAAAAGGAAAGTCTTCTCGGTCCCATATCGCAGAGGAGACTCGCGAAGACCGACTTAGAAGACATATATAAAGGAAGAGGAATCGACACCAGAAGATACAAGAAATTCCCGAGAGACTTGGAGATTGAGAGCTCAAGGCATTCATTAGCTTCTTAATTTCCTAAGTCTTAGTTCATTTATCATTTACATAGACGAACTCAGTTGTATTCCGATCTAATAAAATCCGAATTTTCGATCTAAGTTACTGTTTTGTCCCTTGTCGATATACACATATCAACAATCATGTTCTTCAACTCGGTTATCTCCTTGTTGTCTGTTCCGGTTTGCTTCGTTGAGCGATCGTATTCAGGACAATCATTGCTATTGGCTTGAACCAAATTTTCGAAGAGGGCTCTTCCTTGGGCTATCGTCTTTTGTCCAAAATCTCCATTGCTAGCTGTATCAAGTGAAAGTTTGTATTTTGGTTGCAAACCTCGGTAAAATGTGCTCAGCAAGCTTGATCCAGGAAATCCATGGTGAGGGCAATCACGTTCATACTCCTTAAAACGTTCCCAGGCTTCATAGAAAGATTCAGTCGGGCCTTGTTGAAAGCTTGAGATCTTTGTTCTCAACAAATTCGACCTTGACTTAGTATAGAAGTGATTCAGGAAAGCAGTTTTACATTCTTTCCAATTAGTAATCGATCCTGCAGGCAAAGATTTCAACCAACGGTGAGCTTTGTTTGCTAATGAAAAAGGGAACAACTTACACTTTAAATAGTCTGCTGGAACTTGGTTTGTTCTCGTCATGCTGCAGATTTCTTCAAAGAGCTCGATATGGTCCATTGGGTGTTCGGAAGGAACTCCATGGAATTGGTTTTGTTTCACGAATGAGATGGTTTGAGGCTTGACTTCAAACTCATTCCGGTTCGGAAATGGAACTTGAATTGCAGATCGGTTTTGAAAGTTTTGAGTAGGTGCATCGAAATCAGCTATGCGATGGTTCCTGGCTTGTCTTCGGGGTTGATTTGCTGGCTGTACAGGGTGGTTAACGCACCCATTCGGCTGCATTCCTTGGTGGTCACCATCGACTGCGTTGATGGGTGCATCAAAGTCTTCACGCTCTTCCCTCTCGCGGTTCTGGTGGTTTATTGGAGGAACCTCATCCTCCTCTCCATCTTGTCGAGCATGATCACCTCCTCTGTGATCATTCTCTTCATTTTCTCCATGTTCGGACCCGTCTTGGTCCATATTTAAAGCTCGGTTAATAGTATCTCCAGGCTGGTCGTTGTTGGCCATTCCTTGCGTTCGTCTAAGTCTTCGAAGTTCTCTTTCGTGTCTGTCTATCTCATCTAGAATTGGAATGTTTTCTACAGGTCTGCGCCTGGTATTCATGCAATTCAGAGAAAAACAAAAGAATGGAAAGATAATTCAGCAAAACTTTAAGAAAGAACTAGAGATCAGGTGTCTAGAACAGAAGTTAAAACAAGAAAAATAGCAAAAGGCAGCGAAACAAATCCCCGGCAACGGCGCCAAAAACTTGATTGCGTGTCAACTGCGTGAGGGAACAAGTTTTACCCTTAACAAAAACAAATGAAAGCCGCAAGTGCACAGCTAATCAGTTGTAGTATTTAGGGATCGAATCCACAAAGATTTGTGTGTCTGGTATTCTTCTACGTTTTTAACTTTATGTCTAGACTAGATTGGTTTTAAAGGTTGGTTGTTTATCACGAATTAAACTAAAACTTAAAGAAAGCAAATAAATCTATCCTAGAAAGCAAGTAGAAAAATCGAATGGAAAGCTAGTAAAGCAAGTAAAATATCGAACTAAGGCAATTGAAATGCAGATCTAAATAAACAAGTAAAAATCGATTGGTTTGTAAACTATGGCTAAAAACGCTGAGCTTTTGGGAACTCTAAGGGATCATAATCGGTTTTGACACTAGGGTAGATAGATTGGGATTGACAGATATCGATATATAGGGTTCTAGAGCTAGAGTACGGCGGTATGACTATGTCACTGTCGTGATCATAACCAACTGTTTCTCGCAACCCTGACCAGTAGGTTTCCACTCTGGCCCTGGAAGGGAGAGAACGCAAGAGCTGCACAAGACTCGTCAATACTCACGATCTCGCCGTAGGTAGGTTTCCACTCCTACGGAAAAATCGCTTGTTTCATTCTAAGGCTGATACTTAATGAAAACTTTCACAACACTAACTATATTGATCAGATACTAGGTGATCAATCAAGCATACATGCAATAAGAACAAGAATAAACAGCGAACAAAGTTGAAATCCCAGATCTATAAACCTAGATGTCTTAATCGATTATGATAGCCCCTTTCGGGAACCCTAAGCCCAACTCAGGATCTCTCAGACATGGCTGAGGTCGACATCATCATTGGTTTTGATAAAAGTAATCAAAAACAGTAAAGAAAAAAGATGAAGAAAGCTTCTCTATTGAAGAACTCGGACTTGAACAATCTTCTACAAAAATCGCATAAAAACGGTTAAAGGAAAAAGGGTCTCTGTAAAGTATGAAGGGTTGTGTCTAAAAACGACCTAAATGACAAGTATTTATGGTCTTCAATACTCCATGGTCTCTAGGGTTCCGGAATTGAGGCTGAGAATGACTTTGGACTTCAGAAATATGGGCTTTAGTTCGGAGTTTGCCGGCCGCGGTCGGGAGTGACGTGACCGCGGGGAATAGGTGGTTGGCCGCAGTGGGGAGGCTTGTGACCGCGGAGAATGGGCTGTTGGCTGCGGTCGCGTGACTTGCTGGCCGTCTTCGAGTGGCTCCAGGGCTAATGGAATATCTTGAGATCCAACCATTGGAATGTCTCCAAACCAAGTGCATTTGAAAGCTGGTTGATTTTTCTATAAGTTGTCCAATTTTGAGGGTGATCGGACGGTGAGAAGGTCTTCGTCTCTCCATGAGAATTCTGACGGTCTGCATTTATCCAAAAGAGTCTTTTTGTTCCAATTTGTGTCTCTTACCTGAAAAATCTTTTAAAATCCGAAAACATAGAAATCCTTTGAAAACATTTAAAGATGGAGTAAAAACACCTGTAAAAAACATTAAAGTGATCCATAAAAATGGTCAAAATCCGGTGTTATCAATAGACTCAAGACCACTCTCCCAGATTTCATTGAGCCGAACCAGAGTGTGTTTATTAAGGGCCGTCTCCTCCTTGAAAACGTTCTGCTGACCACTGAGTTGATAAAGAATTACCACAAAGAATCAATCTCACCTCGCAGCGCTATCAAATTTGACATCTCCAAGGCTTTCGATACTGTACAATGGTTTTTCATTGTTGGGATTTTCAGAGCTTTAGGGTTCCCAGAGTTATTAATTCACTGGGTCTATAAATGCATTTCAACGGCTGCATTTTCAGTTGTGGTAAATGGTGATTTGGAGGGTTTTTTTCACAAGCAACAGGGGTATCAGACAGGGCTGTTCACTCTCGCCGTACGTCTTCGTAATGGTCCAAAACGTTCTCTCTAAAATGCTGAACAGAGGAAGGCAGAATTGGTGCACACCCACAATGTTCCCAAATCCGTGTTACTCACCTGACTTTTGCTGATGACATCCTTGTCTTTACTGATGGTATGTCTTCATCACTCCGAGGAACCTTTGATGTCTTTGATGAATTCGCGAGAATCTCAGGTCTTCGAATCAATGCAGCAAAATCGGCCCTGTTTGTGGGTGGCAGAGATCGCCAAGATATTCATGCAGCAGCTTCTGAACTGGGTATTCCTCTTGACTCTCTACCAATTCGCTATCTTGGTATTCCATTAACCACCAAAATGATGACAAAAGACGACTATGCTCCTCTCATTGACAAAATAAAGGCAAGAATGCTATCATGGATAAGCAAACATCTCTCCTACGCTGGACGTTTGCAGCTTATTGTCTCTGTCATTTCGAGTATATCGAATTTCTGGTGCTCTGTTTTTCGACTGCCATCAAGCTGTTTCGATGAGATTGAGAGGTTGTGTGGAGCTTTTCTCTGGTCTGGAAACCCAAATACTTCAACGGGATCGAAAATTGCTTGGACGGATATCTGTAGACCGAAGGAGGAGGGAGGTCTGAGTATACGTCGTTTATGTGACATCTCGCGGGTCTTTGCTCTCAGCCTGATATGAAAGCTGTTTTCTCTTTCCAGATCTCTTTGGGTAGCATGGACAAAATGCAATCTCATTAGACGTCAGAATTTTTGGATGATCCCGGAAGCAAACACGGGATCCTGGGTCTGGAGGAATCTCTTCAAATTGCGTATGATTGCGAGGCAATTTCTAACGGAGGTTGTGCGAGATGGAAAATCTATTTCTTTCTGGTATGATAGATAGATTTCAGGAGGCCGCATTATTGACATCACCGGACCGGCAGGACCCTAACTATTTGGAATCCCCATCTCTGCCTCTGTTCTTGATGCCACAGGTCCTCGCGGCTGGAGACTTCGTAGGAGCCGTCTACATCATCTCCAGCCTCTCATTGATATGATCCTCGCTCATTCCCTTCCGCACTCTGACAATGGTCCCGATTTCTACCTCTGGCAACACCAGCCGGGGATCTATAAAGACCACTTCTCAATGCAGAACACCTGGGAGCAACTTCGCATTCATCACCCGCGAGGTCCCTGGTGAAGAGTCATTTGGTTTTCGCAGGGAGTCCCTCATTGCAGATTCATTTCTTGGCTAGCGGTTCATAACATACTCACCATGGGAGATCGTATGTGCAGGTGAGGAATACACCAAGCCTGTGTGCTCTGCGGAGAACCGGATGAAACACGCGATCACCTATTCTTCGCCTGCCCGTATTCCTTCACGGTATGGTACGAGGTGGCGGGAAACTTCCTGAGACAGAGGCAAGACCCCGATTGGCATGAAACTGTGCGGCAGCTCATCTCGTTCCAGGGTGACAGAAATCGCACCATTCTTCTCAGGCTGGCCTTTCAGATAATGGTATACACTATCTGGCGAGAGCGAAACTCTAGAATCTATCATCGGGGTCACACCTCAGTGACGCAGATGCCTAGGCTTATTGACAAGATCATTCAGAACAGGTTGGCTTCGCTCAACTACGCTACGGATCCTCGGATGCACGACATCCTCCAAGTTTGGTTTAGCATGTACGATCATTGTACAGACAAACGCATGGGAATGGTGGAACAAAGTTATTCCTTATCTTGTGGCAAAAACTGAGGAGCAGTGTATGTTCCGGCTGCTGATCGATGAAGAATTGTTGAACATGGGCAATAAAAAACTTCATAAACATTGAAGTTAGTAACCGATATTAAGAGAACTAATGTCAGTCCAAGCCCAATATTACAGGTGTTCAAGAAAGCGTTAGGAATTAATTTTTTCACATAAGTCTACAATAGTACATACAATCCTTAATCAAAACCTACGCGGTTTTAAGCTATTTAAGCATTTATAGAGTAAATCAATATATAATATACTATAATGTAAAATTAATGAAAAAATTAGTTAAAAAAGTAATAAATTGTAATTTATAAGTAAATGAAAACCACTAATAGCATTTAGTAATCATAACTTTTGTATTTGGTTAGGAAAACATTTGTTTTATGGCTATATATCAGAAACTGTTTAAAATTTTTAAAGAAACTTTTTTCTGGTTCAATATTTTTTTAAGCCAGTTCTTATTCCTGGTTTGGGATACTTTTAATATAATATTAATTAAAAAATCAAAATTTATAATTAGTATTAATTTTTTAATTTCAAATTTAATTTTTGGAATAATTTCTTTTGAATTAATTTATATAATTTTTTTTATTATGGTAGAAAAATTGTAGGAAATAGCTTGTAGGTAAACAGTAAAAAATAGTTCGTAAGACATTGATAAGAGAATGGTCAAAAATTTCCTACAACTTTCCTACTAAAGTATTCGTCGAAATTTTCCTACCAGCAAATTCATAGGAAATTCTCTACTATTTCCCTACGTTTTACAATTTCCGACGGCCGATTTCGTATAACAAAATGTCGTAGGAATTTGGTAGGAAAAGACTATTTCCTACGTTTTTACGACGATATTTTTCGTAGGATTTCGGCATGTTTTTTTGTAGTGTAAACAACCTAAAAATTACCTGAGTTGAATAACATTTGTTAGAAAAACTAGATTCTAACCCGCCCATTGGTGGGCGGGCGTGATTTTTGTTGGCTAAAATGAAAAATAAATCATAAGTTATATCCAATTAATGTTTAGTTCAGTGTATATATAGAGTTGAATGTTATGGATGGAATGATATGTAGAGTTTAAACATCAATACGTGTGATGTTTATGATATGGAGATGTAGATTTTAAGTATAGATTAGCAATCAAGTGAGCCAATTAAAATGTCAATTTGCTAAGTGTATATATAGTATAGAAAGCAAAATTGTTCATAGATTTACAGATTTTAAACAATCAAAGCCTATATTTTATTACAATCATTTGATATATTATCTTGAAAGCCCATCATTTTATAATTTAAATATATCAAAATAATTGAATGGCCCATGAACCAAAAACGCAACAAATACAAATGCAAATGTATTTAGTTCATGGGTAAAAAACGAAACAGATACAGAACAAAGTAAAAATTATGTCAAATGAAGAAATATTGGTACATATTATAAAACACTTAATTATCACAAACTGAACCTAAATCCATCTCCGAGTTAAACCTACAAAACATATATATATAAGGAGACTTGTTAATAAAAATAAATATAAAGTAATTTATACTATAACATGAAAAAGATGATGGAGATTTACTAATTCGGATAAAACACAAATGTATATTTCAATAGACAATTTATAAAAAAAAAAAAAAAAAAAATATATATATATATATATATATATATATCATAACATAATAATGTAAATAACCTCTTAACTATTTCTGAAGTCGACAACCTCTTGTATTGGAGGATCAATCAAAAATCGAGAACAACCTGTAAGAGATTTAACATACATTCTCCTATTGTTTTGATCTGCATAATTTAACATATTTTTATAAGTCACCTGAGAATGGTTAACCTAATTCATATAAACAGACACATTGTTTTAAGTGTTCACTTATAATAACATTTACCTTCCTTAATAACCCAAAATCAGAGAACACATACTGAGTGAGAAGATCCTTTATGCCTCCACTGATCATAAAACTCTTGAGCAGTCTCACCAAAAGCAAAACATGTAATAATACATGCTCTATATCATGAACATTATGAATAAGTTAGTAAAATATACTATATAATAAATAAATAATAATATATATAATTAAAAATAAATTAATTTTACTCGTCGTCCACGATGTCAAAACTTAATGTATCCTCTCCAGCATGAGCCAAGATATTTTGGACGGCAGAAATAGTTCCAACTAATTCTATATTAAGACAAATAAACATGAAAATTTGGAAATTGAAGACAATAAGGGAATGTTCATAATATATGTTGTTACCCGTCAAAACATTTGGGTCAGTCTTCTTCCGCAGAATATCAAAAATTCTGGCTGCATCTAAAAAGTAGCGATCTGTTTTTGGCTGGATATCAAATATAATAGACCCATTCTTGAGTCTAATATAGTACTTATGGCGAGTTAGCCTCAGATCTCCTACATCTAGACACACTTTGAAGCCCATAAATAATTTTTACTCCCCTTCTCATACTCTATCTTCTAGAAAACGCACGTCTTGAGGCCAAATAAGAGCAGAAATTTTCACACCCTAATAATACAGACAATTATATACGATCAAATAAGTAAATCGAATTTTTGACTAAACCCTAACAATTAAAACTTTTTCATCACCGATTTGATAGGAATTAACATGTAAGAAGAATCTATATGATAAAAATTTAACAAAAAATATGATAAATTCATATTCTGCAATTGTACCTTATGATCTATGAGTATCATATGAATACTCTCTCCGTCATCTGAACATCGCCTCCAAATACTCATAATCTTCGCATCAATATCCCTACATTATTAACCAACGTCACATAAATCTTCCAACTCATCTCTATGGATTCTTGGGTAATCCATAATTTTAGACAATTATCGATTAAAAGGAGTGGATGATTTTTTACTTCTGATAGATATTATTATAAAGCGAAATAGACGATGTACTTTAACTGCCAAGACGTTGTGGGGAAGGGTGTGGAAGATATAAAGGCAAACCTAATTTATATTTTAAACCTCGTTTTTTATAAAAAAAAAAATTTATTTGCATAGTTTTTAAAATTTATTTTAATCATTGTACAGAAGCTGCCGCAACTGGGTTTTACAAGTTTAAAAACAGTTGAGATGTCGGGGCTGCAAAAACCTTTCACTGCTATTGAAGTTGAAGCAGCGGTTCGTAGCATGGGGAGATACAAAGCCCCGGGACCAGACGGATTTCAACCAGTCTTTTATCACCAGTGCTGGGATGTTGTGGGGGAGTCAGTGTTGAGTTTTGTACTGAGCTTTTTTGAGACAAATTCTCTACCAGAAGGGACGAATGATGCGTTGGTGGTTTTGATTGCAAAGGTTCTCAAGCCAGAAACAATAAAGCAATTTAGACCGATCAGCTTATGTAATGTTTTATTCAAAACAATTACAAAGGCTATGGTTATGAGGCTCAAGTGTGTAATGCCCCAGTTGATCGGCCCAGCGCAGTCGAGCTTTATCCCAGGGAGATTAAGCACGGATAATATTATTGTGGTCCAGGAAGCGGTCCATTCTATGCGGAGGAAGAAGGGAAGAAAGGGGTGGATGATGTTAAAGCTTGATCTGGAGAAGGCCTATGACCGGATTTGGTGGGATTTCCTTGAAGATACGATTATGGCTGCAGGGTTGCCAACAAATTGGAAAGACTGGATTATGAGTTGTGTTGCAGGGCCATCGATGACTTTGTTGTGGAATGGGGAGAAAACAGAGCCTTTTAAGCCGGCTAGAGGGTTGAGACAAGGAGACCCACTATCTCCATACTTGTTTGTACTCTGTTTGGAAAGATTATGTCACTTAATCGAGATATCTATTGCGTCTAGAGAGTGGAAACCGATCTGTCTATCAAGAGGGGGTCCGAAGCTATCTCACATATGCTTCGCTGATGATTTGATTTTATTCGCCGAGACCAGTGTTTCCCAGATACGGATCATACGGAAGGTTTTGGAGAGGTTCTGTATTGCATCAGGACAGAAGGTTAGCTTGGATAAGTCTAAAATATTCTTTTCGGAGAACGTCAGGCATGACCTTGCGAAATTAATCAGTGATGAGAGTGGGATCAAATCAACTAAGGATTTGGGGAAGTATTTGGGTATGCCAGTCTTACATAAACGTATTAACACGGATACGTTTAGTTCGGTATTGGAGAGAGTTTCTTCACGTTTGTCGGGTTGGTGAGGTCAATTTTTAAGTCTTGCCGGAAGCATAACACTCACCAAGTCGGTCCTGTCATCACTTCCAGTACATACTATGACAACCATTTATTTGCCGCAATCCGCTCTTGACAAGTTGGATAAAATGTCAAGAACCTTCTTATGGGGAAGCACAGGAGAGAAGAAAAAGCAGCACTTTCTCGCTTGGGATAAGGTGTGCTTGCCAAAATCTGATGGAGAACTTGGGATTCGGTCTTCTAAGGCTATGAATCAAGCTCTTCTAGCTAAGGTGGGTTGGCGGCTCTTACACGACAGCGAAAGCCTCTGGGCTCGTGTCCTCCGCAAGAAATACAAAGTGGGGAATATCAGAGACCTGTCGTGGTTGAAAGTAAAGGGCACATGGTCTTCTACGTGGAGGAGTGTTGGAATTGGTCTGCGAGAAGGGGTGCTACCAGGAATCATGTGGGTGATAGGTAATGGGCGAGATACACGTTTTTGGCATGATAAATGGCTGACGCATACACCACTCGCTGATTCAGCTATTGGTGAACTACCAGAGAATCATAATGAGCTTACTGTTAGAGATGCATGGCGGATGGAAGCAGGCTGGGACTTCCAACAGATTACGCCCTACATATCTGAGAACATGCGGCTTCGGTTGACCTCCATGGTCGTCGACACAATCACGGGAGCAGCAGATAGAATTTCGTGGGGTGAGTGTTCAGATGGAAGTTTCACAGTGAAGTCAGCGTATAATCTTATAACAAGGAACACAGTTGCTAAGCAAAACATGAGGAGTTTCTTTGAACGTATATGGAGATTAATGGCGCCGGAAAGGGTGCGAGTGTTCTTCTGGTTAGCGGGTCAACAGGTGATAATGACCAACATGGAACGACATAGACAGCACCTGTGTGCATCGAGTATGTGCCAGGTTTGCAAAGGGGGAAAAGAATCGATTCTACACATCTTACGGGATTGTCTAGCGATGTCGGGAGTGTGGAATAGACTTGTTCCGCAGAGATTGTTACCTTCCTTCTTCAGATTGTCTCTATTGGAATGGATATATGTGAATCTTGGGGTCTTGGGGAGACTATGGATGTCAGAGGATGTCCGTGGGCCACGTTGTTCGCAATGGCGGTATGGTGGGGATGGAAATGGAGATGTGGGAATATCTTTGGAGTGAATGGTAAATGCAGGGACAGGGTGAAATTTATCCTTGATTTATCAAAAGAGGTGGTCGCTGCACATTTATTGCTAAGGGGAGGCGAGAACGGGACTGAGCGGGTCGAGAGGATGATAGCTTGGTCTTCTCCGGCTAGTACGTGGTTTAAACTAAGCACAGATGGGGCTTCACGTGGTAACCCGGATTTAGCCACGGCTGGAGGAGTTGTCAGGGACAGTGACGGTAATTGGTGCAGTGGATTTGCACTTAATATCGGTATTTGTACGGCACCCTTAGCTGAGTTATGGGGAGTATATTATGGGGTTTACATTGCGTGGGATAGAGGGATCACGAGATTGGAGCTGGAGGTGGATTCCGAGATTGTCGTGGGGTTTCTTAAGACAGGGATTGATGACTCTCATCCTCTGTCATTCCTAGTACGTTTGTGCTATGGCTTTTTATCGAAGGACTGGATAGTCCGAATTTCTCATGTGTATAGGGAGGCTAATCGTCTTGCAGATGGATTAGCAAACTATGCTTTCTCTTTGCCGTTAGGATTTCATTTGTTTAATTTGTGCCCGGACGAAGTCCGTTTGATTTTGTTAGAGGATGCGATAAGGTCTGCACGCCCTAGACGTGTTCGGATGTATTTTTTTCTTTTATTAATAATATGGGGACTAGTCCCCTGTTGTCCACCAAAAAAAAAATAGATAAAACAAATTTTCTTTCTAATTAACAGTAAATAAATATGATTAAAATAGGATCTTTTGTTTAATGTTTGCATTTAAAATAAAATAATATCTTCGATGAAATAAAAATTAAAAATTTAGAATAATAATCTTTACAAAGAGTATCTTATAACTAGCATAGAATTTAATGAAGAATGCCTCACACACACATGTATATTTAAAATCACAATTTGATTCTGCAATAGAATAACAAAATGAAAAATCCTTGTCAAAATAACATTTTTTTTTGGTTCTATACAAAAGTACGTAAAGAGTAAATAAATACTCTGACAACAAACGAACGCCATGAGACTAACCGCGAGGATCTGCCTCTCTAAACAGAACCCTAACCAAGCACATCGCTACGTCCGCCGTGATCCTCTTCTGCCGCCGTACTAGAACACGGCGGCGTGTACCGGAGAAGGCCAGCAAGACGAGCACTGTTATCCAAGCGACCATTGTGGCTCGAGCAGCCGCGACAAGTACCAGAAGAGACAAAGCTGCTGCTAGAACAAAACCAGCGAGGAGAAAGAGTTGATGCAAGAGCAGATTCGTGAATGATTTTGCGGTGGAGATTGCGTAGAGTGAAGAGACAAAGAGAAGACATGATAGAGTAATGGTGGTAGTAGTTGCTCTGCTTTTGCTAAGATCCATAGCTTGTTGGATGTGATATCGAAAGTTGGTGTTTATGTTTTATGTTAACAACAATGCTAAAATGGAATTTAAAAGAAAATTAATAAATTAAGTGAGTGGTAATTCATTGGAATACATGTGAGGGCACATGGGAGAGGTTGAGTTTTATGGGTTGTTTAGGAAACGATTCATTGAAGTAGGAAACACATAAAGACATTGGGTGTCTATTTTATTCGTTTTTTTGTTATTAAATATAATAATTATAATGTAAGAAACTATAATAACTATGCAAAATGGGTAAGATGATTGTACAGACAAACGCATGGGAATGGTGGAACAAAGTTATTCCTTATCTTGTGGCAAAAACTGAGGAGCAGTGTATGTTCCGGCTGCTGATCGATGAAGAATTGTTGAACATGGGCAATAAAAAACTTCATAAACTTTGAAGTTAGTAACCGATATTAAGAGAACTAATGTTAGTCCAATCCCAATATTACAGGTGTTCAAGAAAGCGTTAGGAATTAATTTTTTCACATAAGTCTACAATAGTACATACAATCCTTAATCAAAACCTACGCGATTTTAAGCTATTTAAGCATTTATAGAGTAAATCAATATATAATATACTATAATGTAAAATTAATGAAAAAATTAGTTAAAAAAGTAATAAATTGTTATTTATAAGTAAATGAAAACCACTAATAGCATTTAGTAATCATAACTTTTGTATTTGGTTAGGAAAACATTTGTTTTATGGCTATATATCAGAAACTGTTTAAAATTTTAAAAGAAACTTTTTTCTGGTTCAATATTTTTTTAAACCAGTTCTTATTCCTGGTTTGGGATACTTTTAATATAATATTAATTAAAAAATCGAAATTTATAATTAATATTAATTTTTAATTTCAAATTTAATTTTTGGAATAATTTCTTTTGAATTAATTTATATAATTTTTCTTATTATGGTATAAAAATTATAGGAAATAGCTTGTAGGTAAACAGTAAAAAATAGTTCGTAAGACATTGATAAGAGAATGGTCAAAAATTTCCTACAACTTTCTTACTAAAGTTTTCGTCGAAATTTTCCTACCAGAAAATTCATAGGAAATTCTCTACTATTTCTCTACGTTTTACAATTTCCGACGGCCGATTTCGTATAACAAAATGTCGTAGGAATTTGGTAAGAAAAGACTGTTTCCTATGTTTTTACGACGATATTTTTCGTAGGATTTCGGCATATTTTTTTGTAGTGTAAACAACCTAAAAATTACCTGAGTTGAATAACATTTGTTAGAAAAACTAGATTCTAACCCGCCCATTGGTGGGCGGGCGTGATTTTTGTTGGCTAAAATGAAAAATAAATCATAAGTTATATCCAATTAATGTTTAGTTCAGTGTATATATAGAGTTGAATGTTATGGATGGAATGATATGTAGAGTTTAAAACATCAATACGTGTGATGTTTATGATATGGAGATGTAGATTTTAAGTATAGATTAGCAATCAAGTGAGCCAATTAAAATGTCAATTTGCTAAGTGTATATATAGTATAGAAAGCAAAATTGTTCATAGATTTACAGATTTTAAACAATCAAAGCCTATATTTTATTACAATCATTTGATATATTATCTTGAAAGCCCATCATTTTATAATTTAAATATAGCAAAATAATTGAATGGCCCATGAACCAAAAACGCAACAAATATAAATGCAAATGTATTTAGTTCATGGGTAAAAAACGAAACAGATACAGAACAAAGTAAAAATTATGTCAAATGAAGAAATATTGGTACATATTATAAAACACTTAATTATCACAAACTGAACCTAAATCCATCTCCGAGTTAAACCTACAAAACATATATATATAAGGAGACTTGTTAATAAAAATAAATATAAAGTAATTTATACTATAACATGAAAAAGATGATGGAGATTTACTAATTCGGATAAAACACAAATGTATATTTCAATAGACAATTTATAAAATAAAAAAAAAAAATATATATATATATATATATATATATCATAACATAATAATGTAAATAACCTCTTAACTATTTCTGAAGTCGACAACCTCTTGTATTGGAGGATCAATCAAAAATCGAGAACAACCTGTAAGAGATTTAACATACATTCTCCTATTGTTTTGATCTGCATAATTTAACATATTTTTATAAGTCACGTGAGAATGGTTAACCTAATTCATATAAACAGACACATTGTTTTAAGTGTTCACTTATAATAACATTTACCTTCCTTAATAACCCAAAATCAGAGAACACATACTGAGTGAGAAGATCCTTTATGCCTCCACTGATCATAAAACTCTTGAGCAGTCTCACCAAAAGCAAAACATGTAATAATACATGCTCTATATCATGAACATTATGAATAAGTTAGTAAAATATACTATATAATAAATAAATAATAATATATATAATTAAAAATAAATTAATTTTACTCTTCGTCCACGATGTCAAAACTTAATGTATCCTCTCCAGCATGAGCCAAGATATTTTGGACGGCAGAAATAGTTCCAACTAATTCTATATTAAGACAAATAAACATGAAAATTTGGAAATTGAAGACAATAAGGGAATGTTCATAATATATGTTGTTACCCGTCAAAACATTCGGGTCAGTCTTCTTCCGCAGAATATCAAAAATTCTGGCTGCATCCAAAAAGTAGCGATCTGTTTTTGGCTGGATATCAAATATAATAGACCCATTCTTGAGTCTAATATAGTACTTATGGCGAGTTAGCCTCAGATCTCCTACATCTAGACACACTTTAAAGCCCATAAATAATTTTTACTCCCCTTCTCATACTCTATCTTCTAGAAAACGCACGTCTTGAGGCCAAATAAGAGTAAAAATTTTCACACACTAACAATACAGACAATTATATACGATCAAATAAGTAAATCGAATTTTTGACTAAACCCTAACAATTAAAACTTTTTCATCACCGATTTGATAGGAATTAACATGTAAGAAGAATCTATATGATAAAAATTTAATAAAAAATATGATAAATTCATATTCTGCAATTGTACCTTATGATCTATGAGTATCATATGAATACTCTCTCCGTCATCTGAACATCGCCTCCAAATACTCATAATCTTCGCATCAATATCCCTACATTATTAACCAACGTCACATAAATCTTCCAACTCATCTCTATGGATTCTTGGGTAATCCATAATTTTAGACAATTATCGATTAAAAGGAGTGGATGATTTTTTACTTCTGATAGATATTATTATAAAGCGAAATAGACGATGTACTTTAACTGCCAAGACGTTGTGGGGAAGGGTGTGGAAGATATAAAGGCAAACCTAATTTATATTTTAAACCTCATTTTTTATAAAAAAAAAAAAATTTATTTGCATAGTTTTTAAATTTTATTTTAATCATTGTACAGAAGCTGCCGCAACTGGGTTTTACAAGTTTAAAAACAGTTGAGATGTCGGGGCTGCAAAAACCTTTCACTGCTATTGAAGTTGAAGCAGCGGTTCGTAGCATGGGGAGATACAAAGCCCCGGGACCAGACGGATTTCAACCAGTCTTTTATCACCAGTGCTGGGATGTTGTGGGGGAGTCAGTGTTGAGTTTTGTACTGAGCTTTTTTGAGACTAATTCTCTACCAGAAGGGACGAATGATGCGTTGGTGGTTTTGATTGCAAAGGTTCTCAAGCCAGAAACAATAAAGCAATTTAGACCGATCAGCTTATGTAATGTTTTATTCAAAACAATTACAAAGGCTATGGTTATGAGGCTCAAGTGTGTAATGCCCCAGTTGATCGGCCCAGCGCAGTCGAGCTTTATCCCAGGGAGATTAAGCACGGATAATATTATTGTGGTCCAGGAAGCGGTCCATTCTATGCGGAGGAAGAAGGGAAGAAAGGGGTGGATGATGTTAAAGCTTGATCTGGAGAAGGCCTATGACCGGATTCGGTGGGATTTCCTTGAAGATACGATTATGGCTGCAGGGTTGCCAACAAATTGGAAAGACTGGATTATGAGTTGTGTTGCAGGGCCATCGATGACTTTGTTGTGGAATGGGGAGAAAACAGAGCCTTTTAAGCCGGCTAGAGGGTTGAGACAAGGAGACCCACTATCTCCATACTTGTTTGTACTCTGTTTGGAAAGATTATGTCACTTAATCGAGATATCTATTGCGTCTAGAGAGTGGAAACCGATCTGTCTATCAAGAGGGGGTCCGAAGCTATCTCACATATGCTTCGCTGATGATTTGATTTTATTCGCCGAGGCCAGTGTTTCCCAGATACGGATCATACGGAAGGTTTTGGAGAGGTTCTGTATTGCATCAGGACAGAAGGTTAGCTTGGATAAGTCTAAAATATTCTTTTCGGAGAACGTCAGCCGTGACCTTGCGAAATTAATCAGTGATGAGAGTGGGATCAAATCAACTAAGGATTTGGGGAAGTATTTGGGTATGCCAGTCTTACATAAACGTATTAACAAGGATACGTTTAGTTCGGTATTGGAGAGAGTTTCTTCACGTTTGTCGGGTTGGCGAGGTCGATTTTTAAGTCTTGCCGGAAGAATAACACTCACCAAGTTGGTCATGTCATCGCTTCAGTACATACTATGACAACCATTTATTTGCCGCAATCCGCTCTTGACAAGTTGGATAAATGTCAAGAACCTTCTTATGGGTAAGCACGGGAGAGAAGAAAAAGCAGCACTTTCTTGCTTGGGATAAGGTGTGCTCGCCAAAATCTGATGGAGAACTTGGGATTCGGTCTTCTAAGGCTATGAATCAAGCTCTTCTAGCTAAGGTGGGTTGGCGGCTCTTACACGACAGCGAAAGCCTCTGGGCTCGTGTCCTCCGCAAGAAATACAAAGTGGGGAATATCAGAGACCTGTCGTGGTTGAAAGTAAAAGGTACATGGTCTTCTACGTGGAGGAGTGTTGGAATTGGTCTGCGAGAAGGTGTGCTACCAGGAATCATGTGGGTGATAGGTAATGGGCGAGATACACGTTTTTGGCATGATAAATGGCTGACGCATACAGCACTCGCTGATTCAGCTATTGGTGAACTACCAGAGAATCATAATGAGCTTACTGTTAGAGATGCATGGCGGATGGAAGCAGGCTGGGACTTCCAACAGATTACGCCCTACATATCTGAGAACATGCGGCTTCGGTTGACCTCCATGGTCGTCGACACAATCACGGGAGCAGCAGATAGAATTTCGTGGGGTGAGTGTTCAGATGGAAGTTTCACAGTGAAGTCAGCGTATAATCTTATAACAAGGAACACAGTTGCTAAGCAAAACATGAGGAGTTTCTTTGAACGTATATGGAGATTAATGGCGCCGGAAAGGGTGCGAGTGTTCTTCTGGTTAGCGGGTCAACAGGTGATAATGACCAACATGGAACGACATAGACAGCACCTGTGTGCATCGAGTATGTGCCAGGTTGCAAAGGGGGAAAAGAATCGATTCTACACATCTTACGGGATTGTCTAGCGATGTCGGGAGTGTGGAATAGACTTGTTCCGCAGAGATTGTTACCTTCCTTCTTCAGATTGTCTCTATTGGAATGGATATATGTGAATCTTGGGGAGACTATGGATGTCAGAGGATGTCTGTGGGCCACGTTGTTCGCAATGGCGGTATGGTGGGGATGGAAATGGAGATGTGGGAATATAGCAAAAAATGATGGGATTAGGGAGGGAAGATAGACTAAGAATAAAACGAAAGAGTTTAGGTTAAATTTAAGGCCACAAATCCGTCAAGTGAATCTTAACAATATCTATTAATCAATTATGATATGTAAACATTTCTTTTTATTTCAAACTAAAAATTGATAAATGAACATAACCAATTTAAATATATTTATATTTTTATTATCATTCACATATATGAATAATTTACCATAAATCAAATTATGTATATAACAATTATTGTTACTTGCCATAGTATGAAGCATCTTAAAAACATTGTCATTACAATTTCACGCTGTATATTTGCAAAATATTATAATTTATTAATTGCATACTGAAAACTGTTAAGACAGTATATAATTGGATAATTTTCACATATTCACTCAATATGATTATATATTATATATGCAATCGAATTTTCCCACTATATAAAATATCATTTTTTGTTAAAAATTCATTCACTAAATTATCATATTTGTTCTGTACGTTAAATAATGTTGATTAATAGTTGAATGAAATGTGGAAGATAATAAATATATACTTAATAATTAATTCCATGAACATTTACATAATAACAATGAATTGAGATTTAAATTAGTAATTTACTTAGGTATAAATTACATAGATGAGCATATAAGAAATAATAATCCGACCTTTTGCGGTGAATAATATAAATGTATTAAAATACTGTTTAGGAAATGAAATAAACTACTTCTTTCTGATGTGATCCTTGACAGATGTACAAAAAATATTTAGTAGAAAAATATTTCTTTTTCTTGGATGTAAAGATATTTTTTGTACGTCTGTCTTAGGACCACATGAGAGGAATAGTTGTAGAGTGGATTGTATTTGAGTGAAGAAACTTCCCTTCTACTTTTATTTATAGTCGTATAAAGGTGACTACTCACGTTTCATTTGCGTGTTTCATATTCCTCAAAGTCCGCTCTAATTAAAACATATTAACTAACAGTTGACTCAATTATCACAAATTCCCATAGAATAGCATTTACAAATAAATGAATATCTCTTCTATACATATTGGAAAATAGCTTGAAAAATAGAAAACTAAGGTTTGTACTCCGAACTAAGTGTATATATACAATAGTAAGTACCTAAATATTGTATGTCACTGCAAAATGTTAGCCAATATTAATTTCAGCCCAATAAAATTAACATGATACCCACATAATTTATAAAATAACGTAAACTTAGTAATGGTTAAATTAAAAGAACAAATTATTATAGTTTAAGAACAAATGCACGAGTATCATCCGATCAAATTTCAACAAAAAGTTGAACAACAATAACGAAATAAACATGAGAAGATACGAATTCAAATAACCCTATTTTTTCGCTATATCACGCCCATCACTTTGCCAGATCTATGTGTACGAGCGAGTCCCTTGTCAAATTTCCACTTTATAAGAAGGCTCTTGAGTCAGCATGTTTATCAGCGACACCTACAAGGTTTAAAGATAAAAATAAACATAAAAGGCCAAATACCATGTATTAATATATACAAATTATTATACGCAACCCAAGCTAACTTTATTTGAAATTATACCTGATTACCAGACAAGAGCAAACTCTGATCACCCATATCTTCAGATTCATTCACCTCATCAGCGGATAAAACATCATTTCCTTTCCAAACATTTCTGACCTTGTATGTATTATTACCACCGTAGAGATTTTCTTTCTCAACACAAATCAGAAACTGATAAGTCTTCCCAATCAAGTTTTGCAGTGCTTCAGGAACGACATCCGGATCTTGTATCTAAGTTTATAACGTACATAACATTTTAAACAAACAAAGTCTTAATGCAATAGCTAAAATTATATCATAGATTAAGATTTAACCATTAATACCTCATCGAAGTTCCCCTTGAGGATCTCATCAGCTTTCTGTTTTAAAATATCCTGCGCATTTGAATCAAAAAGAAAACACTTGATCTTGCTGGTGTTTTCCATAACGTAAAGATGAAGTTTGTACCTAGCAATATATAAAGATTGTATTAAAATACTCGAATGCACAGTTAGCTAAATAATTAAGTCAAATACTAAAAAACATAGTAAAAAATTTTACCTCGCACTCACAAATGTCACTTTTGCATCACATGTTTCACATGAATAAATTGTCTTATTCTTCTTGGTCATTTTTTGATCTTCCTTCTTTGGAATTTTGTACAACTTTTTACCACACCTAGTGCAAACCAAATAAAACCACGACCAGTCTGTGTCAACCGTGTAGATGGTGCACATGATCTTACATTTCCCAACCTGATGAAACAAAAATACAAATGTCAAAATTATATAATCTACGACGTTTTCCCCAGCAAAGTTTTTAAATGACATATACCTCAAGATAATCTTGCAATTCTGAAATAGTGACCATTGTAAACTGATCGAAATTAATCTCATCACCATAAGAAACCCTTTGTTGAGGTTTGCTACTCAAGAAGGTAATATGTCCGCAATTCTCAAGTAAACTAAAAATTTAATAGTATTACTTGTATTCGTAATCTTAATGATATGACATATATATATATATATAATATACATAGAAAAATTACCTATTCTTGAAGACAATGACATCGGGATCATTCAAATCTATCAGAACCTTAGTTGTTTGACAACTACTTATAATTCGACGATCACCTACAATATTTAACAAACAAAACAAATACAAAAACAACAAATGGTGTTGTATGAAAAGTACAAATTTATGAGTAAAAAAAATTAATATGTACCTTTGAAAACGTTTATTTTCCCAAAACGGATCACAAGAATGACACTTCTTTCACCAGCACTCCGACAAGCCGAATAGACTTCCTCACCAAGATTTCTCTAAAGTGAGCATGGTAAACGTTCATCACTGTAACACATATCACATAAAACAGATGAAAGGTAATCAATAAAAAAAAAACAAAGTGTCTGTATTTATATATATACTCACTTAGCATTTCGTAGATCGAACTCGAGTTTGCTGGTGTCCTTATTCATAACAGATATTGTTTACAACTCACAGACACTTTCAACTTGTCCAATAACATATATTTGGAAAAATAACGTCAGATAATTATTGAAACTAAGGGATGAACAAATTAAAAGAAGTATATCAGTAAACTTACCAACCAAAAAACTTGTATTTGTAACATCGTCCAATATTGTAATAAACTCAGAGAAATCAATAAACAGACTGTCTGACTGGTTAGAATTTTTGCTGACAACTGTAGAGGATATGAATGACATCTTAAATTGATGTCTGGTGGTCTGGTATTGTCCTGAAGCCTGATTCAATGAAAAGTTCTTTATGTACTTCCATTCACCGACAACCATCATCCGTTCAAAACGATGCAGCAAGTTTTCTTGACAATTGCGTGGATTTTGGTACCCTGGATGATCAAAAAGTTAAAATTTTAAAAAGAACGATCAAAAATATTAAAAAAAGTAATGTCGATGAATAATATATTGTACCATTTCATCAGCCAGGATGATTTCCAAAGACTCCCCACTCTTGGTTTGGTATTGTTTCCATGTATGAAGCACCTTCACTTGAACCTTCCACCCAGTCTTAGAAGGCTTAACGAAACTTGATGTGGAGTAATTGTCTATATACACGGAGATGCAATATAAACGGGATAATATTTAAATATAAAATGGTCTAATTTCAAAGATTAGCACCTATTAGATTATTTCAAAATTTAAGGAATACGATAGGAACATACATTTATGAGAATATATTGTGTTCAATGAATATGGCAAAAAAACCCAAAGGAGATATGTGATAGTGGTTAGAATTCTCTACCCGAATATAGTGCATGTTGTTGTATTTGGTAACAATAATTATTGGTATAATTAATAATAGATATCATAATAGGATTTGAAGAAGATTTAATTCGCATACGTAATCTTGCAAATCTATTCAAATGAATTCGACAGTTATTGCGAATTTTAGTTTATCCGTAATAATATGATACTTTGTTTAAATTACATGTTTTTGAAAATTTGAAATAAATAAGATTAGAGAGAATACAAAACGGTCAGAATTAGGATCCGCGTTCTTCTAAACGGGTCATTTTAAAAGGACACAGATCCTCTTTGATTTGAGTTTTTTTTGTTCGTGGAATACATTTTTTATACAATGGCATTCATTGTAATATACCACGTAACACCGAGGTCAAAGTTCTCAAAGTACTTCTCCTTTAATATTATAAGATACATTAGGTGTTTTGATTTCCTAAATAATATCTAACATATTATGAAGTTCTACTTTAATACACATATATTCGAAAATTGAAAGTTTGACACACAATTTTGAGAATGTTTTATCATTAAACAGAAACAGTAAAATGACATTTCATTTTATACACCACATGCGTTTCCTATTTCGAAAAGGCATTATTACCCTTAAATCAACTTCTCCCTAAATCAGTTTTCTCAAATCGAGGAACCTTATCTTTTCTCTTCACTTCACTTCTCTTCTTTTTTTTTTTGTTTTGTTTTTTTTTTTTTTTTAACATCTATCTTTATATGAAAATCAAATTACATAAATACAACAATACATACAAATATGAGATTTAACAATTCTTCTCTCTGAGTTTTCTTTGCTGAAAGAGTGTTCACACTTTCTTTCCTTATCATCGCATTTGATTTGATGCGATTTTCTTTAGCTATGATCCATCTTTTTTCTTGTTGTATGTCATTGACACATTCCCAAATAAGATCTAAAGATATTTTTCGAAAAAGAACCCAATTTACTGATTCTTTCGTTAAAAAAAAGACTTGAGACTGCCAATTCTCAACAAATGTACGAATGTCGCCATACAACAAAAAGTTGTATATTCCGCTCCAAAATCTCGTTCCCTCCAAGGCTGTCTCCATGGTAGTTGTTCCCATACAAGCGCCAATTCCAGCAGAGTAAAAATAACGGAGAAATACAAACTAAAATCCCAAATCTGTCATTCATCATCTTTATTGACATTAAACCCTTCTATCCCTGGATCAAAAATCCAAATTACATACCTAAACCATAAAGTGTTAGGTAGTATAATTCGTTGAGATGATTGTTTCATACTTGGTTCAAACTAGGTAATTTTAGTCAAGTACTTCCAAATGATCTCAGAGATAAATTGCTGGCAGCACCACCATAATGGGCCTTAGAAGAAGACTCCAAAGAGGAGAAGAGTGATTACATCAACGGTGGGAGTCAGCAATAGTATCTTTGGAGGAGAAAGAAGAATTGTAATGAAAGTCCTCTGACTCTTCAGCCCGACATTCCCAAGTTGTTGCAATTTTAATATCAAACATAGTATGAAGTAAACAGAAGTGAGAAGGAGTATGGCAGATGCCGGAGTCGTTACCGACAGGCGAATATTGCAGATGACAGATGAAGATGATTTTTTGTAACTCGCTGTTTTGTAGTTAAATGGTTTCATCTGTTCACAAGGAGAAGAGAATTAAGATAACGGAGAGGATCGAGAGGACCAACCGACGTCAGAGAAGCCAACGCAGGCCAGAAAATATGGGAATAACGAAGACAGACGGTTGTGTTTAAAACTCGTCCTTGGAATCGCCAAACAAAGACAAACGGTTACGCGGCTTACGACTTACGCTTTTCTCTCATCCTTTTCCTCTCTTCTCTTTCTCTTCCCTTCTTTCACTAAGAAAATCACGATGTCAAACTTTTGAATTTTGAATGTCTGAGTATAAAATAGAACGTTGTAATATGTTGGATATTTGTTGGGAAGTATAAATAGTTAGTGTATTTCTCTAGCAAATGCTATTAAACCTAAGATATTTTTAAAGGTTTATTCCATTTTTATGTTTTTACAGTATTAAAAATATTGAATAATTATTAAAAAAATATTTAAAAAGATTAGATGGATACATAGAAATTACGTGGATTGAACATCCAGATTAAGAGCTGAATGTAACTGGCCGCCAGCCTAGTAGTGTCGATTTTATTAAAATCCAAGCAGTTTAAGATTGCCTAACACCTACCTAGACAATGTCTATACAGCGGCCGATTATTTACAAAGTAATGAATTTTTTTAATTGATTAAGATTTTAGTGTATTTATGCAAAATTCTTCTGAGGTCTACTTTTTAAGTATATTTTATAATATGATCTCTAATGTCGTTTAAATTTGATTTTTTTTTTTTGCAGAAGATGGTTTAGTTGCCTATTGTTTGTGACATTTTGTGGTTGATAATCGCAAAAGAGGGAGAATGTTCTTTTTGAATGATGGTTGTACATATCTCACCGGCAATTCAATAGTACATAATAGTATATTTGTTTTTTCCAATTAACTTTATTGTGCCTCTTTCTAAAATTTATTTTAATAAGTTACCACAAACGATGCAACCACAAATGATGTATCAAGACACCATATTTACAAGTTTCTAGGTAACTACTAATAAAGACACTGAATTAACTCCATGGGAAGTTTTAAAAGTCATCCGCATATTAATTTACAAATGGTGGGTCGTCAAAGATAAGAATGGTTAAGACCAATTTGAGTTTATCTTCATCGATGAGAAGGTTAGTGTTTTAAACAAACTGTCAAATTTGTAAATTAAATTTGGGGGGAAATGTTATGAGTCATTTGAATATTTTAAAATTTGCTACGGTTCTAAGATACATGCAACCGCTTTTAATCTGGTCCACGACTATTTTCTTCATACATGTAATGCAGGAGATTGGTTTAAAGTTAGTCGATTTGTGGTGAGGAATTCAGAATGGAATAACTTGAAAGAGAGACCAACAAAGCACAACTACAATATCGTGTTGACTCGGATACCAAAGTTGATAGGATTGACCCTATCTCTAATTCTTTGCTTCTGAATTTGGTCAAATTTGAAGAAATTATGGGTAGAAAATTGATCTAGCTTTTACGGTTGGTAATTCCCGATACAAACATTGCATTTCTTAAACAGTTCTCTTTATTTACGGATACATAATTAATAATTTATTATTTATATGTTTTGTTATATTTTACTGTTTATCATATTAAACAGACTTGATTGGAGTCATACACTACGTTGGTGAACTTAAAACCGATCAGTCATTTCAAACAATTTCTCTTCCCGAGCGAAGAACTTATGTTGAATTCCATATCAGAAATCTAAAGTAAGTTCCTTTATAATCTTATCACATATTTATATTTTCTATATTCTTATCGTTATTGTTTTTTTTTACAACCAGGAATGTTGTCATCAAGTGTTTTGCTTTTAACAACATTGCAATGACCTTCGATACTATGTGGAAATCAAGAGTCACTGATTTGTAATTTTGTGTTCTCAATGAATGAAAAATCGATTTTTCTAAAGGTTAGAATATGTAAACTACTACGTACTTCTATCATAAATTATTAATGTTATTAAAGAAAACTGTTGGTTACTCATCAGAGTTTTTAAAATTATTAGGAGATATTATTGTTAGAGATTTTGGTGGTATATTTCGCTTTCTTTTCAATCGAGAGATAACAGAGGTTCAGAAATTTTGTTACATGTATGATTTCATTTTCATATTTTTATTATGTGATTGAAGGAAAAAAACTTATGATTCATTATAAAATTTAGTAGTTATGTTTTGATTTATTCAGGTTTCGATTTTCAAACCTGAAATCACAGATCAAATCTTGGAATTGTAATGATCCTTGAGGTATACAATATTTTCTGGACTATTGATTTTATCCTTTCAAAATTTAAATTATTCAGCTTTGGTTATGTGGATATTATAGGATTTGTTTTTCCTTTTATATTATGTAATGGATCTACATAAATTTTAAGAATTATTTAATCTCTGATGATGAAGATTACGACGGATTCTTTTTTCAGTTGCAAAAATTGTGGTAATATCTTTTCCTACGATGTACTTGTACCAAGGTATATATATATATATATATAATCATCTCCATTAAACAATCATTTTTTTAATATGACAAAGTACTCACATTTCTCCTTCTTAACAAATAGTGTAGGTATTATATCATCATATATGTTACTGATGATTCAGGCGTCGATGTCTGATTCCTGTTTTTTTATGAGAC